GATTAGCAGCTCTGAAGGATGAAGTCCAAAGCACAGAGCAGCATTGCTGTCCCATATATTCTGTCTCATTCTGAAGGTTATGCTTTCTTTAGAGACACGAGTGTAATTTAATCTCCATGTTCATTCAGCTCCTGGCTCAAAGCCCATGGAATCGGAGAGAGAATATTTCACCAATTGCAGGGGGCTGTGGTGTCATCCTTCTGTCACTTGACCTGCTCCTGTGAGCCGTTTCTCTGGTGAATAATTCTGAGGGAGATGTTCTAGGACTGAACAATTTGACTTCTTTTTCAAGACCAGGACAGCAAAGTGCTGTGTCTAGACATGGATATGTATCCACTAGAAGGACCCCCAAGACATTTCTCACTTGTAACAATATTGAAAACCTACCTTTGTCTTGCGTTCTCTCAAGCCTTGTCTGAAATGTTTCCTTTTCTTCTTTCTCAGGTAATGCTTCCCTTCCAACATGTTTGCTTTCTTAATGCAGGAAACAGTTCTGTATCTTTAAAAAAATTTGGATTGTCTAGTCCCATTTGTCAGGTCAGAGCACTATGTGCAGGACTGTCTCCAAACAAAGCTAAGTGTTATTAAAAAAATCAAAATTTAATGTCTCGAATCAGACACAGAGGAATAACATTATTCTGGTTTTATTTTAGATTTTGCCAGTATGTCACCAGGATCATTTAAATCATTTATTTTTCTAATTTAAATGAAGTGAAAAATGCAGCACATGAACAAGACTAGAAATATCTCTGTTAAGTACTAAATTAGGGGGAGAAGAAATCCAGCTTATTGAAGAATGCAGTGATTTACAAAAGAAAAACTAAAATGCAAAAGTTTTTTCTTGGTCCTAAGCACCACCAAGTTCTTTACTGATTGGAATAATTAATGGCTGTAATATTTTCCTAAGGATAACGGGAGGAAACCACATTGTGGCTGTGACACAAATAATTGCTTTCCTACATTTACTTACTTTCTGCAGTAATAAATACACATAAGGCTCAGCTTAAGAATTTCACAATATACTTAAATTTCTGATCAAGCTGATTTGAATTAAGTCTACCATGCTAACCTTTTTCAATAGAACTTTACAATATACTATAAAACTGTTGTTTAAACAATTCTCCCCATAATTACCACCAATAAATGATACCTTTTTATTGCCATTAGAACACTCTTAGTAACTGGTTTCCAGAGATTGCTGCAGTAACCTGTACATAACTTTGTGCTATGTTGTAAGTAGTTGTATGGTTTTCTTTTTAGAATTCTGAAACTGGAAAGGTTTAAGAAAACATGCAAAATGCTGAGGATACACGTAAGTGAAATATTTAATGTCCATCATTCATAAAAGTTACATTGTTTACATAGGGTTCATTAGTATATAATAAAAATGTCATCTTAATGAAAGATTTTCTGGCAAGTCTTTTATATGTTAATTTGTTTAACATATGCTTTGGCTATACAGCTAAATAGGAATATATTTTAAAAAATCTTTCTGCAAATAGTTGCTTAACAGTTACAAAACCTCATTACTAAGAATTGGTTATTGTTACACTTGCTTGTTGGCTTGTAAAAATCATGTGTTTTGGACAGGGAATCTTAGGACCAACTTTATGTAGCAAATGTGCTCATTGCATAGTGACCATGTAAACAGCTCAGGGACCCACAGATTATATCCTTGTACTCTAAAGTCACTGTGTAAAGTACACACTGTACTGCTCGTGTTTTCTTATCTTGATGAAGAATTTGGGGATTGTTTTATTGTTGATGCTGATGGGAATTTCTTTTTAAAACAAGTCAGTTTTATACAAGAAGTTAAAAAATTAACACCAAAGGAAATAATTTTACACTGTGCAATAGTATTGCTACCTCATTCTTTTTGATTTTAGATATATATATATAGATATATATATATATATAGCATATTGGAACTGCACTGTACTGCTTCCTTTCAAAAGAAAAGTTTAAGTTAGTGGGAACAATTAGCTATGTGTTTACATAAAGTTAACTATGTTTGCATCAAATAAAATGTTTATTAATGAAAGGTATTATACAAGAAACATCAAAGAGAAATTCATCATACAGAAATGTACACTATATGTGACAGATGGAAAAGTGCATGCAGAGTTGTCTCATTTTAAAAAAATTAATTCTGAAACAATAGTACTAAAGTTACTGGGTTTTGATTCCTATGATCTCGGATGAGTGAAAAGTTCTCCTTGAATTTACAAAAATCCATTTAACAGATATGACTAGTACACATTAGCAAGCAAGTGGAATGAATGCACTCAGATTTTATTTTACAAGTACTTGTGCTTGACAAATGTGATTTTTTTTTAAAAAAAGAAAAGGTTTCTTCGAATATGGGCTGGGTAGATTGCTGCCAGGTTGCTCTGGTTTTACACATAGGTTCTCTAAATTTGTTTTTGATACCACACAATTTGTTGAAGCCTTCAGTTCTGTTAATTAGACACCATAAAATAACGTATGTTTTGTTAACATTCAGGAAATGACATCGAGTCTTTTGTTTTTATTTTTGGCTCAATAGATTTTTAAATGTATGATTATCATAACCTAATATTGTCTTTGTCTTCACTGCAGTGGATTTCCGATCAAACTTTTCCCCTTCTTTTAATACTTTAGGGAATTTTCAAACGTCGGGATGTTTGGCTGTAATGCCCCATGATTTGTTCTCCCTGAAAGAAATCATAGTGACAATTTATTAAACTACAGAGCAACCTGGCTTTTCGGGGTCTGCAATTCTATTTTGTGCTCAATATACCTAGCATTAAATCTTGATTCATTTCATCATACTATTTAGGTTATATTTGTCATGCAATTACTTTAGCTCCTAGTTTTCTGGCTCTTTTAGAGGGCTAAGACAGGGTTTCAGTATCAAATCAGTGGGGCATTACTTTGCATGTTCAAAAAAGGAGGTTAAAAGGCTAAAATCTAAATTGTACCAGCAGTAGCATATACATTGAATATGAAGAAATTGAAAACCTAAGAAGGAACTGTACTTTAAAATATTTAAAAGGCTGTGTTTCTGTGTTTAATACCAATTGTTCATAGGTACCGTAAAAGCAAAGAGACAGACGGGTACATGTAGACCTTAAATTTTAAAAAAAGAAACAAAACAAAAAACCCCAACCAAAGAAAACCCCAACAAAAACTGATGGGAAATAAAACTCCTTAGATTCAAAATGGTTTATTCACACAAATTTAATAGGATATATCACAATTGTTTGGTCCATAAATATTTAGGGGAAATAGTTTCTATACAATGCATTTATCAATAAACAAAGAAACATGGACAATTTTGCTAGACCACTTACTGTACTATAAACACGAAGCTCAATATATAAGATTATTGGATTTATCAACTATATCTGAAAGAGTGCACAACTGCTTTCTATGACATGTTTGTCCCCTCTAACAGGATACACCATAAAAAGAGTTTCAGAAATAAGAGGTAAAACAGTACAAAACTAGTGAGGTGTCAAAAGGGCTTAAAACAGTTAATTTAACAAACAACACATATATCCTGATTTTTCACAAACTTACTCCCAAGGTATATCATAAGGCACATAGTAGAACTGAGTTTTAATTAGTCTACTTAATAAAGTAGATCTCTAGTACCATATATTGTTCTGTCAAAGAACAAAATTTATAAGTATCAATATTTTTACCTGTAAAAGTGTATTAATAAAGATCTCAGCCTTACCAAGGTCTTTTGGTCTGGTTAGTGGTAAATGCCCATAAGGTAATAGAAATAGGAAAAGTCAAGATTCAATATCCGTAGAAGATGATAACCATACTTGCTAAATATATAATGGCAAACACACCTTTCTTCTATTACAGTGTTAACATCTCTTCCGTCATCTTTTTTAAAAATAAGCTACTTTTCTGTGCTAATTTTCTAAAAACCCTGAGCAAAAATTACAATAATGCACTTTAATGTGGGCAGTGAACTGTCAATATGTAACCACACATTTATACAGCCAAAAAGGACACCTTTAAAATATATTAAATAGCCACTTTGACCACCAAAAAGAGATTTGATGGTGTCTAAAAAGTGGGGTATATGTGCAAAGTTATTCTTAACAATCCACTAAAAGCAAGACATAGATCTTGACTGGTTTTTGTTCAGTTTTTTTTCTGAGACTCTCCACAATCTAATTGGTGTTCAACTACAATAAAAGGATACAAATGAACATTCACCACTGCCCAGACCATTCAGACTTTTAGCTTAAATAAAACTAAAAAAAGAAAGATCACTATTGTAAACTAAGAAATGTATTCAGATCAGCATCCACAAGGCTTCTGAGTTTATCGGCTTTGAAGTTATTCACTGCCAATTCCTGGTTTTGTGTGATTTTTGCTAACATTTTTTTCTTTTATACAAAGTTTAAAAAGTTAAAGTATATGTTAGAGATATTAATTAACTAAAGATTTTAAGTTCCTGTGTTAAACAAAGTGTCTGATACAATCTCCAGAAACATCTAAAGAAAATTCAAAATAGTAATGAATAAATTGTACTGAATTTTTTTTTCCTTAAACGTCTTAATAAATTATATTTTGCTTATTTCCATTTCCCTGAAAAAAAAAAAAAAGTAGGATTTGTCAAAAGTTCATTTGAATAGTACACATGCATACACCTTTTTGAAAATTATTTTTGTGCTCCCTAAAGTAACTGGGCAACCTCTTGTTTGCTTTGGAGGTACGGCATCGAAGCCACATCGCCAACTGCAATTTTTATCTTTTTTAATTCCAAAATTTCAGAGCTGCTTGACAGACAAAAATTAAAACCCCTCCCTAGGCAGCATTTCAGATCTGTAGGACTCTCCACTTGCATTGTTACTCTGCTATTGTTACTTTAATGACATTCTTATAGGAGTGAGTTCACTCTGGAGGGTTTTTTCCAGATCTTGCCTCCTTAATGTGGGGCACAAATTTGGAGACCAACGGCCTGGTCCTGCCATCCTCACCCACACGTGCTCTCATCTCTGGGTCTCTCTCCAAGTCCTCCATCAGGAATGGCTTTCAGTGGTGGCCAAGGACATCCCAGCTGGGTGCAGAACTGGCAGAGGAGCATTTAGCTATCCCAGTGAGACTCCCCAGTGCTCAGGGAGGAGCAGCTTGTGACTACTGCATTAGTAAAGAGCACTGGTACTTCCAGTCTGACTGTTTCCATGATTACTCTAATTCACTTTGTATTTATTTTCCAACATTTAAAAATAAATAGTACAAAACTTTTGGATGCATTATGAAAATAAAATTGAATTTGGGGTTCTTAAATGCTGTAAGTGAACATACAATCCTGAAGCAGCATTCTTTTGGCTATAATTAAAATGTTTTTTATCTGGTTATCAGGGAGGAATAGAATCTTCTTTTTTTGGGGGGAAACAATCAATTTTTTTCAAGGTTCTGGAAATAAGTAACATACAATTTTAAGAGGCACTTATTAGAATGATTCATCACCTTGTCTTCAGTCATTTGATAAATTTAAAGAATTTGAGTACAATTTACCAACAATAAATGTTCATATATTATAGCAACATATTACTTCAAACTCATTTGCCAGGTGGCTGCAGATGCTACACATCAAGCTGTTTATTTTCCCAAATATTTTGTGGGTTTGTTTGTTTGTTTTTTTAAAAGGCTTGAAAATAATAATAATTATAATAATAATAATTATAATAATAATAATAATTATAATGAAGAGTAAGAATTTAAAAAAAAAAAAGGAACTGTTAGAAAAGGTTCGTTAAGGTAGTTTGTGAGGGGCTCCCGGATTCGTGGCTGTCCAAGTTAGAGGTCACTGATGTCACTACAGTGATAGTGGGATTGGTCAGGTCTGTTAAAGTGGTCGCAGTGCCGGGTGGAGTGAGTGCGCCGCTGTCTGCTGAGGGCGGTGCCGGGAGCGAGGTGCCATCAGCTTTATCGACACCCCCATTCTCCTGCCGCAAAAGGTTCCTTCTGAATTTGGCTCTTGCGTTTTGAAACCAAACCTGCAAACCAATCCCAATGGATTTCTTTACCGATGCTTGTTTTGCTTTGTTTATTTTTGTCTTTGTTCTCGCTTTTTAAATTCATTTTTGATGTTTGATTTTGTGTGGCACATCACCTAAGTCATTCTATGGCTTTTCTTGCTACTGGTGGTACTGACTCTCTGTGTACAGGCCCAGTGCTACAGGTGCTTACAGCCCTCAGAGAGCAGCCTCGAGAAAAATCTGCTTGCTCACTTACCCAAAGAGAGCAACTCTCTTGATGGCCACATAGTGTTTCTTGAGTTGGGTAGCTTTGAGGTCAGGACACACAAAGACTGAAGCAAAGAGTGAGTGAGCAGATTTTTGCCAAGGCTGAAAGCTTGCCTTGATTATTTGAAAAGGCTGGAGAGGAAGGAGGGGTAATTACATCGTCCCTGTCTTACAGATTGTTGATATGGGTCATCTAGTCTTTCTGTTCTGTAAGGTTCACTGGCAGTGTTTGAGGTGACATGTAATACGGACGGGAATTGCCGCTAATAGATTCTCCTTCTACCTCACTCACTGCCCTTCTTTGGCACTCTGCATGTAATACACACCTCGTTTAAACTTCACTGAGCTATCACAGACCATATAGGGATTTTTAACATAATTTCCTAGGCTGTCCTTCACAGGGACTTTTGACTATGCAGGCCCTTAAGGAAAGCAGTCATCTAACAAGCATTGGGAGGGGGAGCCAGCTGGTCCTGGAGGATCATATTGGTCAAAGCTTACTTCAAACACATCAGGGATCTGCTTACTGAGGGGCCACATTAACTCCTTCAGAGGAGCCCAAAGGCTTCACCCATAAAATCAGTAGATTTGCCACCTCTATCCTTAGTGCAGTCACCACAGAGAGACCACCCACTCCGGGAGTTCTACTGGGTGGGTGGACTCTGAAGACATTCTCTTCATGGTGAGGATGCAGCTAATCACAAACCACAGTTTGGTGTTTGGCTGCCTCGGGGCAATAAGGCACACACATTTGGCACTTCTGCCACGTAACACCATACCCCCCTGCACACCCACTAGGGACACACCCAGCAGAAGTATTTCTACATACATTGCTATAGTTACATATAAGGGAAAGGCTATTCACTAGCAGGGGAAAATTCTGTCAAGCCTATCATGTGGCTTCTTACCTGCAGAACTCTCTTGGTCAGGCCTGTTTTCTGGGCAAGCTGCTTGAGGTCCTTGGCATCTGGGTTGTGGTTGATAGCAAAGTAGGACTTCATGGTACGAAGCTGGTGGTGTTTGAAGGAGGTACGCATGCGCTTTGTTTTCTGGGATGGGGGATAAGGCTGCTGGTCTCTGTCCAGGTGATCTGCCTCATTCTCATTACAACCTGTCAAATAAACAAAGTGGAAAAAGGAGTTAGTGCCATGCATCATGTAGGATAAATGAATCAAGGCAAAAATCTTGAGTAACAGGAGGGAAGGCGGGAAGGAAGGCAGGAAGGCAGGAAGGCAGGAAGGCAGGAAGGCAGGAAGGCAGGAAGGAAGGAAGGAAGGAAGGAAGGAAGGAAGGAAGGAAGGACTAAGATAGTACAAGGTACAATGTACAGATGTGATAATTGATGAGACCAAAAGTGATCCAGAATATTGTCATTTCCTATACTTATCCTATGTCCCCCAGGCCTGTACCTACTGAGGGAAGACTTTGAAAGTTCTCTCTCCTTTGGTATTTATTTCAAACAAGTCTTTTCCCTGCGGTGATGGTTTTGCTTTGGGCACTCGAGTCATTTGAAATCTCATTCAGATTTTGAAATCTTACTCATTGAAACATTCTTAGCTTGAGAGAAGAGTTAAGGTCAAACCAGCATTTTGAATGTTCCTGAGCTTTTCCCCCAAACCACAAGCACCTATAAAAAGAGATGTACAGCAGGGAAGTTTGTTATGACAGTTCATCAAGAAAGCTGAGTTTCTCGCTGATAAAATGAATGCTTTTGGACTCTGCCTGGGAGTTTATATGAACTGCTTGAAGCCCTTCATCCATAAAACATATCCAGGAAGCAGTTGCATCAAGACTTGATTCAGACCCCCAATCCCAATCAGCAGTAGGTCTTAGTTAGTGCTGGTTTAGGATATTTCTACAAGCAAGCAGCTAGGAGCTCAAAACTTGAAGAGTTTCTCTTTTTTTCCTGATTCAGTATTTTCGAAGTGTCTATGACAGATAAGTTTGTTTCAGAGTACACATTTTTGGGTGTGAATTGTACACAAGGGTTGCAGCTCTTTGGAGATGGTGGCATCATTACTTCATATTGGAGAAAGAAATTACAGCATTAGCAAAAAGTAAAAAGTGCATCTGTGCTTTTCTTTTCAGCTTAAACAAAAGTGTTAGCAATTTCTAGGATCTCATTTTATAAAGATAGTTCAGTCACACAGAAGAAAATTAATGGTGTCATCATAGCAGGAAATATTAATTAAAGAAGAGCTAATTAAAAATGTTTCAGAATGTCTGCAAATTAGACAGTTTCATTAGTTGCTCATTTTGATTTTTGAACTGCTTTCCAATAGTTACTGGATTATTTGCAAGGCCTAGCTGATCCCCATTCCTAATTTAGAGAAAGAGAGAGAGAAGAGAAAGAGGGAAGGCACACAATACAGAGAGACTGATGTCAGCAGTGCTGAAAACAGAGGCAAAGCAACTTGAAACCACAAGAAAATAAAAAGCTTCTTGAAGGTGTTTTCTCTTTTGAATTATAAGGCAAGTCAACATGAACAGATGCTGGTAAGACAACACTTTGACAGAAAATCAGGTGAATATTTAATTATAGCTAGCTTTCCTCCTAGTCTTGGTAAGAAGTGTATCTGTACTTTCAAACAAAGTAAGATGACACTTCTGAAAAGACCAGGAGTTGAAAGTTGCCTTAAAAACAATTTCAGACCAGATTTGGATTGTATTTACTACTTGTTTTCACAAGCAATCACACTGCCTTCAGTCAAACTGCGTGGGCTGTAACTTATGAGCTGACATAAATCAGAGTACCAGAATTCAATCCTCAGGTTTTACTTCAGAGTTGCAAATCTCTTGTTTGTGTTGTTTTCCTTGGGCCACTCAGGCTTTTAGCATCAACACAAACTTCCTCAGGCTCCTCTGTCTTGCTTACTGCCTTTGTTTCTGTACTCTTTTGTCTTCTTTTTCTTTTTCTTTTTGTAGGTGGTCTACTTTATTTTGGTTTTTATTTTCAAGAGAAAATGAGAAGAGGGCTCCAAGTATCTTCAGACAATCCTGGTTTATACAATGATCATAGCTCACTCTGTTTTATACAGTGTTGTGTGGTTTGGCCACATCCTAGAGCAGAGTCTTAAACTATCTCCTGGAGAACTAAGGGAAAGCACAAAGTCAGGCAAGACACTGCTCATTTCTTTGCTGCAGGATTGGAGGGTTGTTTAATTTCTGCTTTCAAAAGAGCTAGAACAGTTTGATTCTTATTGCCAAGAATTCTTTAAGTGAACTCTTCATAGTTTTTCACACACACACACACACACACACACACATAATGAATAAAGTAAATAGCTCTTTGAGGAACAGATGTGTAAAATATTTTCCTAAGGAAATCTTCTTCACCATCTTATTTCCATATCCTCTAAGCTCTAAGTCAACACAGTTTCCCTTAAAATATATATTAATTATATGATATAAGATGTAATATAGAGAAAGCCTTGAGTGTTTTAAGTACTTTTGAATAGTTTCTTCCATTTTTCACATTAATTCCAGACAGCTTGCAAGTATGAGTGATTTCTACCTCATAACATTTTGAGTTATTTATTGTTGTGTTTCCACTTTACAACTGAGGGGCTGTGAAAAAGAAATTAAACTAGCAAACAAAATGCAGAATAGGAAAGCTGTTGTAGATTCTGCAGCAGAGTCTGATTTTCCATTCTGGACCAGGGCTCAGCTGCCTTGTAACATAATGTGCACACAAATCTAAGCCAGGGCCTGCTGGATGGCTGTGAATGCGCACATGCTCATGCTCAGCTGGGTGAAACTGTTGGCTCCATCGGAGTTTCGTTTTTAAAGCTCGGGGTCGTTTTCCATAATGGCTTGGCAATGGTATGGACACCGCGGCTGGGACTGTTTGGGAGGGAACTGGGCTCACTGGGGAGGTCACGGCCGCGGTGCCCCCAGCCCCGGAGTGCCCGGGTGAGGAGCTGCGGGCGCGGCTGCGGGCGCGGCGGTGTCCGGCTCGGTGCGCTCGGGGCGGTGTGCGGGGCAGGGCTGTGCCCCTGCCCGTGGCTGTCCCCATCCCCGCAGGGACAGGGCGGCGCACCGCCACACGGCCCGGACACCGCCGGCGGCTGCGGGGCCCGCTGCTCCCTCGGAAGGCGGCAGCCGCGCATCCGACATTGAATTCTGCGGACTGCTTGCCCTTTGTAAATGATTACGTGCAAGAGCAGTTACTGAGTCACAGGGCAGAGAACGAAAAATGTGTGTAGGGAAGTGGCTGCCAATTAGAGACTTTTTTTTCTCTCAAGAAGCGGCTTCATCTACTGCAACTCATTTCGTAGCTGTTCCAGATTCGCTTTCCTCCTCCTGGATTTGGGCCGCAGTGGGTCAATGGTCTGGAGCCGTTTGCACCGGATGCACGGTTTGGCTGCAAACTTTCTCGAGACCATGTGTCAACCCTGGACATAGCTAGATAATGCTTATAAAAAAGAATAAAATCACGGCCCTAACAGAAGGGATTTCTCAGCCATCTACCCTGAGTCCAAAGCATCAGAGCGTTTGTTGATTTGTTTTGGTTTGTTCTTTTTTCTCTCCATTGCCCGGAGGATTCTGTGAGTTCTGAATGCAATGAGCTGTGTTTTCATAATGGGTGGTGCTTTTTCATCTGATTTGGAGTCAGTGGTACATCTTATATGGCCCGTTGTTGAAAAGAAGGGAAGTTTTAAGACCAGCACACAAAGATTATGTTAGCATTCGCAAATAATGTCTCTCTCGAGTCCTGATCTGAAGTTTAAGGGGAGCTTTATCATATCCACAACTCTTCATTTTACCATAACTTCTGATTCTAATTTTAGCGCTAAATTGTCCCTAGCATTACTTCCCTTTAGAAATCTGAGGAATAGGGTGATGCTGTGTGGACCAGGGATAGAGACCAGAGCGGAGAGCGGGCACACGGGAAATCCACCATTGGAAGCTGGGGCTGAATGAATCCTGGCTGCGCTACAGGTTCCCTTTTCTTTAGCAGCTTTCAGGATTGATTGGAAGCCGCTCCGTAGCCAGGGATTCCAATGTCATCTTCAATTAACAAGGAACAATTAGCGCAGTGATTACCCTGGCTCCAAGGTCTACGCATCAGAGGAGATGAAATCGCCTTGCAGAGCCCCCTGGTTCCCAGCTAAAGGCCGTTTCACGAGCGGCCCCAGAGGAGGTGCCGGGGGAGGGGTGGCGAGGGCAGCGGGGCGGTGGAAGGTTCCTTATGGATCTCAGTGGCAGCGGGTTGAACTTGGTGCAGGAGAGAGAGCTCCGGGCCGAGAGCGGGGCACTGTTACCGACCCGCGACTGTCGGAAGGGAGGCCCTGACCCCTCTCCCGGCTCCCCGGTGGGGCCAGCGGTCCGCAGCCCTGGGCCCGGAGCCCCCGGCTCCATGGGGAAGCACACCTTGCATCACTCCTGCTTCCCACGGCTTTCTTTCCTCCGTTACCGTCCATGGGAAGCTTAAGGTTCCCCAAAACGATTTTGGAGTCGGGAGTTTGCCAATTCGTATTTACCCTTCCTGCTTTCGTCCTTAATCTAATGAAGCTCTGCCTCAACTGTTTGGTCATACCTGAAACTCCTGTACCTCTGGCCACTAGCACTGTTTATACACGGTTTGGGTACTCAAGTGACTGGAGTTATAGAGGATATTTAATACAGGGCCACACTTGTTCCTTTCCTACTGTTGAGAGAACAGAAATCATTCTCCTTAATTACATTTGTTAGAGTTTAGTACAGGAAACAACATTTATTCGTTGATCTCTTGTACAGTTTGATCATTTATGTGTCAGTAAAACAGAATTATTCAGCCTGAAGAATTAATCACTATAAATTCAATATATAAATTGAGTTATATGCATACTACATTGGTGTTGTAGGAACCATATACTATAACTTTTATTCTAGTTTTTCTGATTCATTTAGTTACTCCTAATTTGAGGTTTAAGTGGTGAATATTTTTAGCTAATCAAATATAAATAATGATAACTGCATCTCTGAGATTCCAGCAGAGAAAGCTATGTGGTTTTTGTGGTTTTGGGGTTGGTTTGGGTTTTTTGGTTTTGTGGGTTTTTTTTTCTTTTTTCCTTTTTTTTTTTTTTTTTTTTTTTTGTCTTTACCCTGGGAAGTGGCTAAGTTTGGGTGTTTGACATTAATAGGCAAAGACAGCCTTTGAGGAGGGCTGCTGTTAGCTTTCCTGCAAATGCTCCAACCCTCAGAGGGCTGTTTGTTTGATTTTCCAATGGTTAAGCAAGATTTGGCCTGGCTGAGTTATTCACGCACTGCCTGGCTAAGGGGAAGCCCGAGAACGCTCTGTTCGGGGGAGCGGGAGGCAGACTCGGCGTGTGTTTCCCACCTGAGTTGTAGCTGACGATGTCCACTCCCAAGGCAGGGCTCTTTCGTTTCCTGGGCCTCCCCTTCTGGACCGTGCCAGTGCCGTTGAAGTAAGGCAGGGCCAGCCCTCCGCTCTTGGCAGCCAGCTCGGTGTAGCTCAGCTGAGGGGGGTATTCTCCTTGCAAAAGGGACTCGAAGTGGGCCCTGCAGTAAACCAGGTTGTCCTTCATGCCAAAGTGATCGCCCGTGGTCAGAGTCTTGTTGCAGGTGGTGCAGGTGAAGCAGCTCAGGTGATAAACCGATTCCCTGGCTCTCATGACCATTTCAGAGGCTGAGATCCCAAGGTGGCAGCGGGCACATCTCTGCACGGAGAACCTTCTGAAGGAAACAGAAAAGTGGGCATCAACTAGAACGGCGAAGGCAAAGCTTGCCCCGGTGCCTCCCGCCTTCCCTCCCCGCCACGTGAGGGAGCCTGTCCCCGACAGGGTCGCGTCCCCCGGCCCCAGGACGGCCCGTGACACCGGCTGTGGCCCCTGGCCCGTCTGGTGTCGGGACAGCCTCAGGGAACCGGCCCCGAGGTCCCAGGGGAGCGGTTCGCCCTCCCCGCCGAGCTGACCCGTTCTCCCCGGACTTTGGCGAAGGCGCTGCCGCTGCCCGTGCGCACGGGGCCAGGCGGGCCGGAGCGGGGGGAATCGGGCTCCGCTCTCCTGGCGCTCCTGTCAAGACGAGGAGAGCCGCGGGGCGCTGGCCAGCGGGACAGCTCTAACACACACGGACCAGCGGGGCCCGCTCCCCGGGCCCGGCCGCGGGGCTGGGCGGGGCGGCGGGCTCCGGCCTCGGGAAAACCGGCCAGCTGCGCCCGGAGGGGAATTTCGGTCGGGTCTTTACGGAGGGAAACCGCCGAGCAGCGGGAGAGCCTTCGCCTGTTTGTGCACCGCCACACATGCTCAGTCAGCGCGGGCCCTGACGGCCCGTTCAGTTTGGAAACGTGCGAGACTTTTCTGAGGGAACTAAGGATTAAGGAATCGCTGACTGCGAAAAGCTACCTTTGAAAGCCCGTGTGGAGAAAAGAGCGTTTCTGTTCACAGTGCCTTTTGAGGGGATGTGTTTTGAACCCATGAGGACTGATTGCTGTACCTGTAGTAATCCTCCTTGCAGTAAATACTGCCGTCCTTGGCAAAGCAGGTGAGTTCTGACTCCAAAGCCAGTTTACATTCACAGCACTTAAGACACCTGAGGTGCCATTGTTTGTCAACAGCCAGCAGGTAATATCTGTCTGAGATCTTCCCTCCACAACCAGCACACAAAGCAGGCTTCTCGGGGCTCATGGGGGGCATGTTCTGCAAAACAACCACACCACAAGGGATGAGACAGGGAGAGAAAGGCAGGCAGGCAGGCCGGGCTGGGGACGGGTCCTGCGCAGGGCCCGGGGCTCGTACAAAGGCACGGCTCTCTGGGACCAAACTCCTGGCTCCCGGCGGGAAGTTTAAGGGAGAACCGGGACCATCCCCGCTAGTAAAGTGTTTACCGTGATTCACAGTAAACCTCTCCTTACGATCTCGTGTCATTTCAATACGTGAAAGCAACGGATTAGGCCGCAGTAGGAAAAGCAGAGCCCATTCTTTTCTGAGGTTCTGAACTTAAAGTCTGAGGCTTCCCCGTTTTTTTTAGCGTTGTAATCTTAAAGCACTTCACAGGAACAGCGTTTTAAAGTAGAAAAATACCGGTTTGCTGTTCCTAAAGTTTATGGCAGAGGGTTCAGGCTTGTACTCATTCTATGGCAAATTTTCACCCGTATTTAAACGAGCCGCAACCGCGTCTCTAAAGATAGGCCTTTTAAAACAGGAGTAAGAGAAAGCAGACAGGTGGATAGTGTAAAGAGCAGCGAGTATGAACGCTCACCAGCCCGGCCAGGGCCGTGGGCAGAGCGGTGGCACGGGCTGGTTTCAGCTCAAACCAGTATCTTTTTCTCCGTAAACTTCTGCGAGTTCCCATTGATCTGCTCCCCACGAGGAGTGCCGGTCGGGACAAAGGGAGATGGAGGGACGGCGGAGACAAAAGCTCGGCCGTGAAACTTGGGGCAGCCTTTGCTGATAAAGTTACAGGGGAAAAAATCCCAAACATCTTGTTCTAATGTCTCAGCTGTTTTAAAGTGGTAACTCTGATTCGTTTTTCAATCTTTGGAAGTTGTGTTCCTCGCTCCCTTTTCTTTTTAGCAATGCAAAGATGAGTTAAATTTACATTGCAAATCCTCATGTAACAAAACATGAGTTTATTTAAGAGAGGGGGTAAAGGACCCTCTGTCCCAAAACCTTAAAGCAGTTTTCCAGGCCGTTACTTTGTGTGCAGAGCCTTGTGCGCGATCGGCGGAAGCCCTACAAGTTGGAGAAAGGGAGATCTCGCTTTGCACAAAGCACAGCGTGACACTCGATTTCTCCGCCATCCCTTAGTATATATCCGAAAACTTTTGTCCTTTTGACTAAGTAAAGAGGAGATGTTACTTTCTAAGCAAAGTAGTCGGCCGGCAAAACACTCAGAGAGAGCAGTGCCTCTGTATCAATCACACACTTCAAACCAAAGACAGTTACGAAAAGTAAGTAGTCGCGGTTTGAGGTTTAATTTAGGAGGTGCCAGAAGCGCAGAATAAAAATAAAGCACACCTCGGGAGCTCCAGCTGCAGCTCTGCTCGCAGGGGCAGAGCGGCCGCAGGCAGCCGCGGGGGCAAAAGGCTGCTCGGCCGCAAGGGCTGAAACCCCGTCCCTGCTACGGTTTGGAACAGATTCCCCGCTAATCCAGAGAGCACACGCAGCGACATGGATTAGACAAATGTACAACCGAGCCTGGCCAGCACAGCACCCAGCGGTACGGGTGGGTTTACAGGGAGCGTCGGAAGGGATTCCACAAGCAAGGGGTGGCAGGGAAGAGACAGAGGGAAGCAGCGTCTTTCCCTTCCCCAAAGTCAGGGTCTGTCCCGATGCGGGTCCATGCTTGCAGGGATTCCCTTGCACAGAGCGCCAGCCCCATTCTTACCGTATCTCGGCCGTTCATCTGTCCCCCTTTGGCCAGGCGGGACTCGGTCTTGGATCGCCTCTCCATCTCTTCCATGATTCCTTGGATGTGGCCTCCGGAGATCCCGTGGAAAAGCATGGCTGGGGGACGGAAAGGACAAGTATTTTCTTCTGCTCTGCACCCCACTATTTCCATATACAGACCCCAGAGTCTTTAGATCATCCAAAATGTTTACACCGAGGCGCACAGCGCAGGGAGGGAGGTTGCAAATAGGAGCTTCTCTTTGCGCAAGCACTGAGGGCTTCCTGAAGATGTGCAGAAAACAAACAAGGGGGAGAAAATGTAATAATAATTAGTTTAAAAAATAAAATAATAAAAGCTAGCTAAAGGATCTGTTACTGTTCTGGAGAGCTGGGGGCTTCTGACTGGAGAGACTTGGACCTGGGGCAGTAGAATCAGTCGGGAAAGGATATAGTTTTGAATACAAAGAAAGCAAAAAGAAGTGCTATTTTCAGCAGTCCCTGGTTGCTTTAAAGTTCCCAGTGCCTGTAGGTTGGATTTGGGACTGCTGCTTTCCGGAGCTCTGTCCAATTTGTTAAGAGACTAAAGCCAGCCCATTTTTGATAATTTAGTAGGAGGAGTTCTCTCCCTTGAGCTGCCACTGATTTTTATTCAGACAACAAAGACCTGTCATACTCCTCTCAACCCCTAGTGATGGGCAAGCAGTGACAAACATTACGGTCGGGGCTGTGGGTGGGGTGGGATTTATTACCTCCCCCAAACACGGAGTCCCGGGAGTTGGCGGCGACGGCGCCTGGCGAGGGGCAGGGTGGCCCGCTCTCCCCCCCGGGGCCCCGCTCCCCCCGGGCCGCGCCGCGGGAACCTCCGTTCGGCGGCCGCTCGGGCTGGCCCCGCCGTGCCTGGCTCCGCCGCGGGAGCGGGAGAAGGGAGAGGAGCGCCAGTGCCGGGCAGCCGAGCCGAGCCGGGCCGGAGCGGCCGCAGCGCTCCCCGCGCCCCGGGCCCGCCGAGGGGCGCTGAGCTTGGGGGGAGCCGCGGAGCAGGGGCGGCCCGGGCAGTTCGAGCGCTTCCCGGGGCGCTGCCCTCCCTGCTGCCCCGCGGTGCCCCCGCCCGTATCCGCAGCAGGATGCGGCCTCTCCGCGGAGCCGGTCCCGGCCGGCCGGGGACGCCCTAGCAGGACCCTCTCCCCTCGCCCGCTCCCCGGCCGCGGGCTGCGAGCGATCATTGTGTGCAGGGGACCAGGCGATACATTCCTTCCAGGCTAATCTCTCTGTCTGCTCTCCCTCCCCTCCGTTCCCGGTTTTCCTACTTACTTTTCACACCACTCTTCCTTGCCTTTCCCTGAAACAGCTGCTGGCTGTTTCCTGACACCTCGATCCCTACTGAAGGATCTTCCTGGCGGCAGTCCTGCGCTCCCTGCTCCCTGGGGAACACTCCACACCAAACCCTAGCGCGACTAGTGAAAGAAGTACCCCAGCCCCCACTTCCTTTCCAAAGCATCCCAGAGACATCCTCAGGGGCTCCTCGAGTCACCTCTTCCATGTAACCCAAGATTCAGGCAGCAAGTTTCCTCCCCTCTCTTTCCCATAAGTAGCTAAAATTAATGTTATTTGCAGATTGAATGTTGTTACATTCCTCCGAGTGCCAGAATACAGCTCATAAAACACAATTTCACACAAAGATGAAGTCAATCAAGTGAAATAAGCCGGGATTTTTTTTCTCTGTTGGCACACTAGACCCTGGACAGCAGGGCTGCTATTTACTGTAAGTAATGTAATTAGCCCTTTTGGATGGGAATCAATGTGTTGTATATATGTGTGTGTTTTAATAAGAGAGTAATAGCTATAAAACCAACGAGTCTCAAAAAGGGCTGAGGGAATCTCCCTTGAAAAGGGCAGATCCCTCCAGAAGCCGTAGTCTTCTGCAGAGCACTCCCGGACTGGAAGAAAAAAAGTATCTGTGTGTGTGGGGAAGGAGGAGGAAAAGATAGGCTTTCCTTGGAGAAAACAAGTCAATTAGCACAATAAGACATCAGGAAAAATAAACAAGGTGATTCAATCCGGGATACGGGAGCTATTCGCTCGGGATCCCCAATCCTCCTCCTCCTTCCCGCCGCCGCTCCGCGACGCCCCGGCTGCCCGGGGAGACAGGCGGAGGTGCTTCCCTGTGGCCCCGCCGGGCAAAGGGAGCGCGGCCGCACCCCCGCGGGGCTGCGGGGCCCGGGCCGGCCCTGCTGCGGGGCCGGCGGCTTTGTCGAGCGGCCCGGGAGGAGGGAAGGGAAGGGAAGCGAAGAGGAGGGAAGGGAGGGGCGGCGGCGCTGCGGGCGGGGACGAACCGCTGTGCGGGAGGGTTCGCCCCGCTCGCCCCGCGCCCGGCAGGTACCGCCGGCCTGCGCCCGCCTGGCTCGGGGAATCGCAGCGATGGCTGTCGACAGAGGTCAAAACATCTCCCTTAGAGACGAGTTTGTTTCTAATCGTTGCAATATAGTCTTTGCGCTCTACAAGCACGTTCAGGGTTTGTTCTGGGTGTTTTCCCCTTCGAAGGAAATTTTTCTGTATTCTCCTCCAGTTCTGTTGTCGGGGTAACTCACTCTGCCCCTGTTTCACGTTGCATGTGCTCTCCTGGAAATGGTCTGCATTTCCTGTGGCGTTCGGGTTGCCAAAGACACCGCGGCGTGTGCCAGGCAGGACCCTCGCCGACCCCCGCCCGCCCGGGCCGGCCCCGCAGAGCCCTCTCGGAAGCGCCGCCGCCGTCCCGCTGTGACCGTGTCCCTGCCGGGCTGAGCACCGCCAAACTCATCGTGCCCGCCGGGAGCGGGGAGGGGTCTGGGGCAAGCCCCCGGCTGCCGCTGGGCCCAGTCCCATCGGAAGCTAAAGCGGGGATCCTGTGCCCCCCGAGCAGGGTGTGCCCCCGTCTCGGGTGCCTCGGGTGCGGGCACCGCTGCCCTCTCCCCCCACTTATCTCGCGTTTGCTGTCTCGGGTTCACCGAAACGCTCTGCAGGTGCGGCGTCAAAGCATCCAAGGCAGAGACACGGAAAATATTGCTTGCTAAATTCCCGTCTCTACCTTAGCTCGACGGCGCCGTTAGGAGTAATTGGGCAAACTCATAACAAAACTCAGAAATGACTGAGCCTCCTCCGGTTAGACACACTTAATTAATTAGAGGGTCCTTTCTTTCTGCTCCATCAGGTACGGTTAAGGATACGCTACTAGCTACTGCTGCTCCAGTAAAGGAGGCCAGGGGTTTCCAAGGCGTTTTCTGATTAACATCCTAATGCTGGCAGACCACTTCTTACCTAAAGGGACACTAAAAGTTTGTTGCTAGCATCAAACGTGACTTCTCCGTTTCCAAAAGGCCTGTAGGAGATCAAGGTAAATCTATTTCAATGTTCCTGAGATCTCATTCCTCGCTGTGAACTGGAGCTCCTCTGCTCTAAGGCAGGCTGGTAGCGAGAGCTTGCCATTATAGCACGAGGGATTCCGTACAGTTTTGCTGGTTTGCTTGGGGGGTGGGGGAGAGAAGAGCTCACAAAGAACACGACAGGGAACCTAAAATCCAAATCTACGAGCCTGCCCCTCATGAATCCATCGGCATTAGCACTTTTCCTGTGAACGACAGTTTCTCATCGCAGGGCTCTTTTATCTCTTTTTGCCGTAGCATTTGAGAAAGAATTTCTGATGTGCAATATTCAGAATATTTTAGTAACGTGATAGGCGCTCTCGGTCTTTTCCTTTCTGTAAGGCTCTACCCGAACTCCCCGAGCTAACGGGGAGCTGATGGGGAGGACGGGGGATACATCGCTGTGGAGGTTTCCACAGGTACAGCGTTTGCCTGCCCACGCCGGGCTGGAGAGCTCCCGGACATCCCTCTGGCCGGCTGCAGCCCTGCCCGCAGCTTCGCGGGCGCTGCTGGAGCCCCTTCCACCTCCGCAATTATCGTGTGCCCTGGGAAGGTTTCAGCGTGCGGTCCCTGCCATCCGCTCCGCCACCGAGCCCGCGCTCTCCCTGGCCACGGGCTACGGGCTAAAGCCCATCGCAGCGTGAACCATCTCGCGTTTAGTTCGGAGGATTTAGGACAAGGTCTATATGCAAATTAATAATTGACCAACAATAATTAGGAGAAGGGGGAGGGTGTTCAGGCGGGGGGTGGGGGTGGGGAGGAGGAGGAGGTGTTCTTTGAGGAGAAGCGGTTTGGATTTCGCCTGCCGCATTTGAGGCCGTGGCGTGTCCGGCTGCAGGCGCGGGGCACTGCCCGGGCCAGCCGCCTCCCGCCCCGCAGGGCACCAGGGCTTCACACCCTCTCCGTCAGCACCTGAACTTTTCAAGACACTTCCAGTTTAATCATTTCCAGAAATTTAAAGCGCGTAGTAATAACAGCAACAGGATTACGATCCTGTTGCCTGCAAGTCGGGTGGTTAAAGCCAGGTCTATTTTTAAATCCTAACGCTATTTTCTGCTCTACGAGCTTGTGGTGGAGCGCAGTGCTATTAATGATCAGTCTCATCTGTTTGTAAAGTCCGCGGGCACTGCAACCAATCTAGACACAAAGAAGGGAAATCTGAATAGAATTACATCTCTTGGTGGTGGCACCAAATGTAGCTAATATAGTTTTCAGTATTCAAATAGGTTGCGGTTTATTTTATCTCAATTTTTAAAATTATTTTTTATTTTAAAATACATTATTTAAAATTCCACTTCGGAGTCAGATACAACGTATTTTACCATCACCATCTTTCTCCTCCCTTGAGTCCTCTCGAGTGCTCTGTAAAGCAACTTTCGGATCGCTGCTGCGCTAGGGACGCGTTAAAGCCGGTGCATGGCAGCCAGGCTCGGGCACCAGCCCCTCTCCTCCCCTGCCGGGCTGCGCGGGGCTGGCGCTGCCAGGGACACAAGCGCAGGGTGCCTTTAACCGTAACCGGCATCGGATTAAAACTCCCCAAACCTCCAATGTGCTGTAGCTCCCGGTAATCTGAAAACATGTCAATTAAGACACGTATTCATCTGCTTAGGGAGATGATATTTAAATAAGAAACAACTAGGTGCTTTGCACAGTAATCCCAAACACCTATCTTCCATAGCCAAGCGCTGTGACTGACCACAAACAAGTGATCACACAGCCAGAAGAAAGCAGGAGAGGCAGATTATTGTCTAACATGAAACTGTTCACCGCCCAGGACCTCAGCACTGTCAGCTCCATAGTTGTCTGGTATTAGCTGTAATCGTATTTGCACTCCGCTTGTAATTAAGTCATTGGAAATTATCATATTTTGCTGCTTTTGAAAAGGAATCCCTTACAGACTGGATTACAGACAGGTGAAAGAAGCCATTCCATTAAAAAAGAAAAAAATAAAAGAAGCACAAAAGAAGGGGCATTTTTTTTTAATTGAGCTGAAAGGCTCAGGCTTCCCAAGCTGAGCTATTTTTCTAGATTAAAACATAGATGCATGAAATATTATCTGCGAATACACCTGGGGAAAGTACCGTTCTGTGTTGTTAAAAAAATCCCAACCAAACAAACAACA